CCCGTCTGTTAGAAACGATTTCGATATTGTCGATGCCTTTGCCGTAACCCATCTTCAATTTGTTCATTTGAAGAGGTGAAGGGCATCTAAGTCCACAAGAGTGTTACACTTTAAGGGTTGTAAACACCAAAAGTCATGCTTTTTGCGGTGTTTACTGGTTACCTATTCTTGACCAAGTACCACAATGTTTTTCACTATTTTGACATCATATTTCAAAACCTACCCGGAAGCGGTTCCCTAGCATGAGTCTCGTTTTGGAATGAGAATTGACAATCGGTCATCGTTCCTATCGGCTACCCCGCTATCTTCGCTCTCTTAGCATCTGTCTTGGACATCTCACTACGACGGCCTTCAACACTACTGCTACGGCTTAATTTACGTCAGCCTGTAAAGTTTTGCGGCGTTGATTTATGGTAGTCAACGGAATTTTTTAACCCCAGTGAACTCGATAAAGCTGGGAAATGCTTCGTACGAGTGTAGTCCGATGAGACAGTAGAATACTATAGATATAAAAGTCCGCAAATGCCCAGCACATTTTTTGAAATTCCTTCGTTGCTAATATTTTGTGAATTCTTAGTAAATGTGACTGTTGGATACTTTTTGTTAGAAACTTTTTGAAAATTCTCTGAAAGCCCGCGATTATGTTATCGAAGAAATGATCAACATTTTTTTTGAATTTAGGAAAAACCCGCTTGCTTCGCTTTTATCGAAGGTTTGATTACCGAAATAAAAGTCCTTTTTGCTGTTACATTTTTTCTCCCCAACTAAATCTCTGAACCCACTCTTGGGTACCGTAAATTCACCATTGCGCCAAAGCTTATCAAATCCTATTCAAAAATTTAATATTTTAACACAAATTTGGGATGATTCGCTGCAAGTTATTGACTTTTTCAATGCAAATGAAGTTCTTTTGTAGCCGATGTTGATTCCTGCTCTCTTCCAAGTTTCAATCTCTGTGGTTCCAAGGAGGATTTCCTTCCATGTAGACAAAATTAGTAAATCTATTACTCAACATTGTTCACAGTGCAATTGCACAGCACACATCAGACGCAATTCATCATAATTATGAAAAAATTGAACAAGTGTATCCTTCGCTAAATTTGCGATGTTGACCGAATGCATGTCCATTCTAATATGTCCTGCATTGGGTGGCTGTCCGAAAAAAGGTAAACAATTGTAGGCAATGTTTAGATCCTAATTTTTGTACCTAACTTGAGAACTGCAGGCAACAGCCTCTGGAACAAATCCATCATATTTTTTATTTTTTGCAGGAAAGGTCAGAGAATTTATCATGGAAAAAGTGGGGCGGCATCCAGAATTTCTTTCTATATTGCAACGTTTCGCAACAAATACAATGGAAATGCAGTGGAAAAATTTTTTCCTTTTTTTCGAAATAGGATGTATAGGTTTTTAGTAGAAAAATCTGTATTTTTCTTCTCTGTTCAACAAGTAAGCGACTTCGCACAAAAAAGTATAGTGTAAAAAATCAACAATTATCGGCAATAGAAAAATTTATGATAACTGAAGGATGACTGAATTTTAAGAAAGTTTTAAATTTTCCCCCCCCCCCCCCTCCCCCGCCCCTCCCTCCTTTATTCTCGTTACCCCTTCTAACATTTTTTCGTTGTCGTGTGAAACAAACTGTACCACTTAATTAGTGCATCCTATGACTACAAATGTACTCACTTTTTATCGAAATGTCCGATTTATCAATCATATTGATCGCTATCGATCCATTTAGTCCACGTGTACCCAAGTACAACGCACTTACGTACAGATGCACTCATTACGCTTTTCTGCACTCCATGACCTTGCAAAAAGAAGTGCATATGACTATCGGATAGGTTACTAATTTTGCGCCAGTTAATTTGTATGACATTCATAATAAATCATCCCTAGATCGCATTATCGCACATTGCCCAATGTACGAACTAGAAATACTAGAAACAAAAACTTGTTCTGGTAAATTCAGTGAGTAATGATTATGTTCTCTGGCGTTCATGTGTGTGGATTTATAATATCTTAACAACGAAGGAGAAATGCCACATTAATTGACGAAAACTGGTCTTCTAGAGCCCTTCGTTGAAGAAATAATCCAACAACGAAAAAAGCGTAGTAACATATTAGAGGCATATCTACTCTGTTTAGACTTTCGCGCCTTTTAGGCACGATTTTCAGCCAATTTGGTCACTTGGTCCAAGAATGAGGACCACTTTTCGCCAGCGGTTGAAAATATAAATGGAAGTTACAGCAAACTAAAGGATAAAAATTCTTGCATCTATTGCTCTAGCTATGTAGCCTAAGGCTCTGAAAGTAACCATGATATGGGACCAGTTCTCGCCTTCAGAAAAGGTCCTATTCATCGATCAAAGCTTTATGCTAAGCGATGACGTGTTTTGAACACGGGGACCAGTTCTCGCTGAATCTAGCTTCATTACAAAATACCCTGTTGTCCCAAAAATGCAGAACAACACTCTTTTTGCAGATTGAATTTTATCCGACCGCCCGTCCGCTTCCGTCGAACAAATTTAGACTGACCTTAAAAGTTCATGCGCAACTTCTCTCCGAATTAGTAGTAATTATCAAAGAACGAGACAATGTGACATGCCCGATTATGGCAGACAATATTATCTTGACCTTTTTGTTTTGTTCCAAAATTTGTACAGGAGATAAATTGATATTATTGAGGCAGGAAACGCGCCATGGTCTAATTTTGGAGACTCTAAAGGATGATGTGCAGATGAAGTTGAGTTTTTATATGAAACAAGCTGGTCCCCCTCAGATTTCGGAAAACCAGTAATTAGTTAGAAAAACAATCAAAATTATTTCATTTTCAAAGAAAAAAAATAGCTTCGAATAAAACGAAATTCTATCAGAAATATCTTTTGACTTGACTATCAAGCCATGGTTAGGCTGCAAAAAATTATCAAACGATAGAAAAAATTTCTGATTGTAGCCAATGCCACCACTCCTTTTGCCTAGAAACAATTCTGCGGGCACAGTTTTTGAAAAATCTGAGGAGTAAAAGAAAAACCAACGAAGTTCTTCAAATCTTCTGCGAAGCCTTCTCCTAGATAAAAATCTCGGCGATCTCTACTGCTAATCCTTATAATCCATCTTTACTAATGAAAATGCATGACAATAGCTTCGAGTAATCAATTTTCTTCCTGAAATCCGGATTTCGTCTATCTCCCATATCTTGGCCCAGATCTGCACAGCGGCTTTCTCTCCATTCCATATCTTATTCCATCCTTTCACCTTTCACTGAAACCCAATTCAAAATCTAATTCAATCAATATCGATCATATTTACCGGTCAGTCAACATCAATTATCAAAAGACCTGCCTATGTCTACAACAAAGCTCACATTCCAAGCTGCTGCTAGCTGCTGCAGCTGCAGTTCGGCGTTGATGTCCAGTTTTTTGCACATCAAAGCTTACCCACTTTTCTATTGTTCTGCTTGGGAACAGCAGTTACAGCGTGTCGGTATAAAATACACGCCATACCTCAAACGCTGTCTTTGTTCTTTCTGTGTATGTGTTGATTTACGGCTAGCAAATGTATCATTGCTATTCATTTAGCGTCCCGAATTGTATTTCATTTTCACCCGCTTTTGATAGGCGATATTTCGTATACAAAGTGTTTTATTGAAACTTGGAATTCTTTTCCACGTGTTGCATAATTTCATAGAAGTCTAGGAGTGCGATAAAAAAAATTAGAATAAAATATTCCTCTTATCCCATCTAATTGTCATGCTGTCTCGATTCTCGATCAACTTCCACAAGAACGCATATATTACAATACTGATTAGAATTTCCTGCTTGAAAATTCTCGCCGCTTTTCAATAAAGAACTTTGACGCGTTTGCAATTTCTAAGAAAAAAGCAAGTCGACTTGATTTTTTACACTTCCACTTTTCTTCGCAAGTTGCTTCTCATCGTCAGTCATGAAATAAGACCTACACGGGAGAGGAATACACTAACAGCAATGATCAGAAAAATGATCAGTGTAAAGTTTTTTTTAGTTCTTATGCTTTGCACTAAGACTTTAACAGCTAATTTTTTTTCGCACTTTTTACACATTTTATAGATGGAAGTCAAGCCTTAGTACCTTTCTTTATGATTCTTACACAAGCAATAGCATTTTTTCAGCGATTTTTTCGCTGTCGGTCACGCTTGAAAGAGCGTAGCGCATTTGTCGTTCTATTTTTAGCTTTACTTCGTTTCAACGAAAAGCGTTGGATTTTTTCATAAATCAGTTATTTGAAAATCAAATATTGAGAAAGGCTCTTGAATTGTGGATTCCTATGGTTAATAGACTCATACTTAGTATGGCACGCAAGAAAACGCTGGCTGGCAGGTAGCCAAGGTTTGCTGCCGCATGCGTTGCACAATCCGACGCGATGCGGCCGGAAGGAGTCACCTTAGTGTGGAGACGCAATCACGACATAATTTAGAACCTGTGCAAATTCTAATCATAAATGAAAATTTCAAACGAATTTTCAAAATATTCTGAACGAAAGCAGTAATTAATAATTATTCAACCACATGTATAAATATAATACACTTGTGCGATATAAAAATATAATATATTGCGTTACATTTTTCAAGTAAAGTAATTTTTACTACACTGTTAAGTTATGATTTATTAGGAGCTTCAATGTCAGAGTTCTTCTTACTCATTCTTCACAAATCTTTTCCGACTACTGAATTTCTTCCTAGAGATTTGTAGTTTCTGCTGTGCTTGGGTTTGAAAAAATTTGATTTCTGTCAATAAGCCTATCGATTTTCTCCATTTTCATATTTATTTCCCTTATGACTTACAAAACTTCTAAAGCACCGAAGTAAAGGATGCGAAACGTAGGTTTCGGGCGCCTCTTTCAAGTCACGATATAATAACCAGAGGCCCCTTATTCTCTCTGTCCAGCTTGTCTGTTGGCCTCCTTGGGTAATAAATCCGTCGACCTCTCGATAGCCATTGTATAATCACCGACCCCGTTGACATAGCTATTCTTTCGAATGCTATCAACACTCACTCTCTAGCCTTTGCCGATGCGCTAAGGTCCCTACCATGTCTTGCCTCCCTTCAAGTTCCCGTTCTCAGAAATGCAAGAAAGTGCAGGAAAATTTGCAGGTAAGTCCTTGCACCGACTTCTAATAAAAGTATGTCCCGGAAATGTTTATATGTTCTGTCTTGCACTGACCTTTTGTTTTCTTCACATTGAGTATTCTGGAATTCTTGCATTGTTCGAGACCTTGTAAATGATGACAATCGGGCGATGAAAACCCTTTATACAGCCCGTTTGGCAAGTTTTTCTTTGCAGAGAAGTCTAATCATTCATGAATAATGTTAGGAGGTGAGAGACATGCAGGAAAAGAGTTGTGTATGGTTTTTCACTTGTTCATAGCACGAGAAGAAAGTACTCAGTGCAGCGAAATTTATTGTTGGAAAATTCTAGAGGATTTTTTCTGTTATAAAATTCAACTAAATAGCGTGACATCAATCTAATCAGAAAAAATCAGAAAAAATCCAAAGTCGTTCCTTCTCCAACTCTCGGCCACTCTGAGAATAATTCGCCTGATTGTTGTAGCTGAAAGAAAAACAAACTTTGTTTGTACTTCTTCTACTTACAATTAGCATGCTTTAGCGGACTTCGAATTTCCATTAGATTTCTATTAGGGACCAGCTTTGCGTCTACAGTATGCCACCGCAACCACAGCTGCTTAAGTCTGTTCCAACCCCCAGGCCAAAATTGGCATGGCACGAGTCCGTGTCGCTAGGACTTTGCGTCACGCCTAAGGCCTTTTTGTCTGCTTACTCTTCGGTCTCTTCGCTCTCTCCGACAGTTACGCAGCGCAAACGCCGAGCGCGCAAAATATGTCAATGTTTCGGTCTGACTCAACTGGGACAAAGTGTAAGTTGTTCAGATACGATGTCGCGTGGAGGTTCCGGTAGCGTACGGTACTTGTTGCGGAGGCATTTATGTGTGAAAAAATGGGAATAAAGAGCTTTTTGTCATTATTTTCAAATTTCTAATTATGTGATGAAAAAGCGAAAATATAGATTTTTCTTGTAGCATTTTTACAACTGTACTTTGAGCATAAGCATGATTTGTGCCATGATGGTTGCTTTTTCCCGAATTCATTGTTATTCCAGCAACTAATTCTGACTAAAGTATAATTCGTGGTAAACATTGTCCTACACTACAACCGTTCCTCCCCCTTTTCCCTTTTTTTCATTTTAGTACTCCTTCCTTCCCTTTTTCTCTCAATGATGCCCATCTTGACACGTTAATTCCCGTAAGAACGTGAACAAATGTGATCACATGTTGTATCATGAACCCAATATATACAAAGCTTCACCCACTCTACCTGTACTATGAACTGTGGCCGTTCTTCGTCCCGAGACCAACGGCCTATATCGGTCCCACCATGTTGATCGTTTTGATAGTGGAGACCATAGAGACCATCGTTATTTACTCTTTTTCTATACCTGGTATGTGTTCTTGGTCAACAATTCATAAATCGTGTTTTGTTTCCGGTCCATTCTCGCTGGGGGATCGGAGATTGTTCAAGTTTATTTTTTGATTTTTGACATATTATATCGATGCATCTGCGTGACGAACAACTAATTTATTGCGCTTGTTACTATATGCAGTTTGCCGTTAGTTTCTGGAGAGGACTAACTGTAACCTTCGATTCAAGTGGATTGGCGGTTGGAAGGCGGGGCTTTGTGGCCTAATTAGGACCGCTCGCGCCCGCTACGCAGTCTGCGTCTCCCTCGCGCGCTCTCTGATCATTCCCTACCCTTAACCAGCCGCCAATCCAGTCGAATCAAAGGGTACGACCAAGGATATTTTCATAGAGAACCGCTGTCACACGCGACATACAGAGCGGCGGTCCTGCAGAGAAATGCCTAAGGCAAGGGACATACCTCACGCGATTTCAGTCGCCACGCGATCTGGCAATTTGCCATATGTCTTCAAATTCAATACTGGAAGACCTTAAATGCACAGCATGTATAATTTCGTAGGTTGATAAAATGCCCCCTTTTCCGTACATTCAGAAACCCCGTAGGATGAGTTATGAACATTTGGAGTATTGCCAAATCGCGTGGCGACTGAAATCGCGTGAGGTATGCCCGAGGCCTAACCGAGAAGGAGGGACAGTCTGTCGCTTGCGGACAGTCATGACAAATCACGCAAAATGGCCCTGGAATATTGGGATACTGTCGCTCAAAATGGCCTTCTCCAATCTTCCGCCGTCAAATCTGCCAGATTAGAGACGAGGGCGTTACTTTGCTAGCCTAGACCATGATCGCGTACGTAACGCAACCGCGATAGAATGAGACGCGTTGCGGCGAACGTGTAATTTATGTCGTTAGTTCGCATGTATACGCAGGTGCGTCTGTCCGTGACACGACACCCTGAAACCGGTTCCAGCCTCGATCTTGGAATGTGCGTGGTGCCACCACCGGCGGCGTGAATCGTTTGTCATGCGCCTAAGGTGCGAACGAAGTTGGTGACTACTTGGACGGCCTACTACGGAAGATACTTTCGAACAGACGGAAATCGCTCACGTGCTTTTGACCTTTAACTGACATTCGAGAAAATAATAAAAAGGGCTAGGTTAGGTCGAGGACAAAGCTTACAAGCATACTCTAACAGTACTCACTACCTTTCAAAGCGACTATGTGTGTCCCAGCGGAACACTCACCTTCTCCTTTACATTCTCGATTGAGTAAATCGGAACAATGGGTAAGTTTACCTATGCTTTAGACTACAGGTTCCAGTCACGCATACGACGTCCGTTTATTTTCCTCGTTTGGTTCATCCCCTAGTTTTCTCTCAGCCGTAACCGTTTTAAAGCAAAATGCAAGCTTAAAAGGGCATACTGTCATAAACATAGTGGTTACGGTAAGTGACCTGCCGGTCTCCTGACGAGTAAATGAGTAGATAAGCCTTTGTCAGTGAGTTTCACGTGTTTTCCACCTCTGCAGTACTCTCTTGTAGTCCCTCCGTATTTGATAACCTTTTTTTTGCTATAGTAGTCATACATCGGTGCGACGCGATGCGAGCGCGGTAGTCCCTCCTATCGGCTCCCATATTAGTTGAAAATCTCAAATTGCTATGTTTTTTCATAACGACTGAATCCAAACGTGAAAATCTCCTCTTTTTGAAACGATCCTTGATAATATCAACTGCTTATGGTTAGCTGCAGAAGCCGTTCTTTTTTAGCTGATGTGATTGGTTATAGTGTTTTTTCTGTTATTACACACATTAATTCCAAAGGGGAAGAAGAAAAATTGCCATCGATTTGCCATTATGGCTTAGTTTTCTTTTATTCATTATTGCTCTTATCATCATGTCCATTTCCGACAAAATACTTTTTATTTAAGCGCCGCTCATAAGATTGGTTTTTACAATGGGTTTTGATAAACCAAGCAAATCTATTCTCAAAATCAACTGCTTGGCAGCTGGAAGGCGGGGCTTCGTGACCAAATTAAGGCTAGATAATGATCAGAGAGCATGCGCGCGATAGAGACGCAGACTGCGCTGCGGACGCGAGCGGCGTCAATTAGGTCACAGCTCGCCTTCCAGCCGCCGAGCCAATTGAATCAAAGGTTAGCTATCTGGATTTCCTATGTCTAAACTGGTTAAAAGACCTCCAGTAAGTCATTCTCAGGCGGCAGCTCATGCGATTTATTCTTGTCCGACATTAAAAACTCTCGCCCAGTACCGTATACCTGGTGCATCTAAGGGTGCTGATTGGTCTGTTTGCCAAAAGAAAGTGCGATTTGGGCAAGTGCTTAGGGTTGAACTTCTTCCGCTAGTGAGTCACATGAGCTGCTGTTTGGGCAGTGACTTACTTAGGAGTCCCCAATCAGTTTCCACATGAGAACGCTAGGCAGTCAGGTTTACGTGGACGCTTTGTTCACGTGGACGTTATCTTCAATCAACAAGATAAAACCTGAGAAAGAATTGACGATTTTCGAAAAATATTGAGAGCATAAAGCACCGTTATTTGAGCAAAGTTATTGATGAGAATGATCTACAAGCGATATAAAATTGATTTCTCAAACATCATAGATCACTCGACAAAACACCCAGTCCGTATTGAATCTAAGGCTATCGATCACTAGGGTTTTTTGACCAAATTTAACAATTTTTTACTTGCCCACCGTTCTTAATCGATCACCGCGTGGCGCTGATCGTTCTCTCCTTTTTTGACTATTTAGGAGTGTCCACCTCAACACCTACGTATTCATTTTGTTCAATCATCAAGAATTAGGGTGGAATACGCATGTAAATGTCTGCATTGCAGGTATCTGGGAGAAAATTACAAAGATTGATCTTTGATTGGTAGGGAATTGTTGATTAAAGGGAGGAACGCATCAATCTTCCCAAGTCATGCGAAATTTTTTTTCTTAGAATCTTTGCCCAGTCGCATAGAACTAGACCTGACGGAAGACTTTTTAAGGACTCAAAGAATATCATTTTTGCCTATCTCGGACCTTCACCTTTTTGAATATTCCTGGAAAAGATACAATTGTTTGTATACTTGCTATCCCCAAACGTTCAGAAACAATCTAGTATTGATAAAGTAGTAGCAGCAATGAAATATGAATAATTTTTGTTTTCCTCCATCTTTTGAAAACTTTTGAAATAAAACAGAAAACTTTTGACTTTTTTAACCAAAGTTTAATTTTTTTGTAAAATACTAATATGTTTACAGAATTTCTTACCTGTTTATTACATTTTGAGAATTTTGATCATAATTTCCATCATAAACTGAAATTCACTCTTGAATTTTGAATGCATAAGAATACAATCAGAATCGAATAATGATCCAAATTTTCAAATGAAAGCTGTCTTACCTTTAATTTCATGAATATTTCTGTTTATATGAAACGTTGAGAAAAAGCCAAAGAATGTAAATAATGTAAAAATAGAATGAAAATGAAATAAGAGCATAAAATGTTATCTCCAGATTCAAAAAACGGAAATTTTTTTTCAAAACTACCGGTGTTTTGAAGTGTATAACAAAAATGCTAATGCTTGCTTTTCTCACAATCAGTTTCGAAAACGCTTGCCTTTTTCAAGCACTGAACATTTACTATGGTCATATCAGGTT